TTCAGAACTCTCAGAAATAAGGCAGAAAAGGGGGCAACAGAGCAAGACTCTGTCAAAAAAAAAAAAAAAAAAAAAACCTAAGGAAGTAGGGCTGGCTTTTAATCCTGGAACTTCGGTTCTGAACCTCATGCTCTTTAATCTTAACACTGCAAAATGACCCTGCGATTTGAAAGAAACTTTAAATAAAGTTTATTGTTGAGTTGCAATAAGTGGTATCAAACAATGAGTTAGTATTTTGTGTATACTATGACTTACTTTTTTATTGTAACTAATAAAACTACATTTTTATTATGCTGCTTTTATTCTTTGGAAGGCCCAATTTTATAAATGTCATCAATAGGGAAATAAAAAGTTCCAGATTTTGCTGTACTATGTAATAGCTAATCTCAGCAATATGAGGATTAACATTTATTTGGTGTTAGAAATCAAGTAGGTAAAATAGAAATATGAATCTCTATGCGTCCTATAAATATATAAACAAAGATTCTTGTGATATCCAACCAGTTTACAGTCAATCAATTATCTCCCCTGCACTGTCTGTACTGACTTAATTTCCCATGGTACACTCAAAAAATCACATATTATAGGAACTTTTGGTCATTATTAATAAAAAATTATGATACTTTTTAAGCCTCTTCTAGAAGGAACATTGTTTTCTAATTTCTTTATTATTGTTTTTGATATATAATAATTGTACATACTTATGGTGTACAATGTTATATTTTAGTACGTATAGCTATGTGTAATGGTCAAATCAGGATAATTAGCCTATCTATCACCTCAAACATTTATCATTTCTTAGTGTTGGAAACACATTCAAAATTCTGTCTTTTTGTGTTTTGAGAATGTACAACAAATTCTTGTCAACTATAGTCACCCTATGGTGTTATAGAACACTAAAATTTATTTTTTCTATCTAGCTGTAATTTTGTCTCCTCTCGCTATCTCCCCTCATCCCTACCCTAGCCAGTCTCTAGTAACCACTGTTGTAATCTCTACTTCTATGAGATGACCTTTTTTAACTTCTACATATGAGTGTGAACATGCAATGTTTTTTCTTTCTGTGCCTGGCTAATTTCACTTAACATAATGTGCTTCAGGCTTATTCATGTTGCTGCCAATGGCAAGATTTCATTCCATTTTATGGCTGAATAATATTCCATTTTGTTTATAGAGTGAATTTTTTAAACATTTTTCTGTTGATGAACATTTAGGTGGATTCTATATCTTGGCTGTTGTGAATACTGCTATAATAAACATGGGAGTGCAGGTACCTCTTCAACGTTAATGATTTCCTTTCCTTCAGATATATATCCAGTAGTGGGATTGCTGGATCATATGGTAGTTCTATTTTTAGTTTTGTGAGGAACCTCTGTCCTGTCCTCCATAATTGCTGTACTAATTTACATTCCCACCAACAGTGTCTAAGAGTTCCCCTTCCTTCACATCTTCACCATGGCTCTTATTTTCTTTCTTTTTGATAAGAGCCATTCTAACTGGGGTGAGATGGTACCTCATTGTGTTTTTGATTTGTATTTCCCTGATGATTAGTGATGTTGAGCGTTTTTTTCATGTATTTGTTGCCCATTTGTGTCAGTTTTCTAATTTTCATAGGTATTTCAGTGTAAGCCAATTTTATTTGACCTAGACTTTCACACATTAATAGTGAACACTTTCAACAAATGTTTTTATCAATTAAAAACATTGAATTTAGGTTTACACTAAAAAGTAATATAAACTATGAAATATTGCTTGTACTTTTTAAAATATAAATACATGCATATTAATTTGGTTGGCTTAAAAACCTTCATTTAACATATACTTACCACTTAATTTTCTTTTTTCTGTAATAGATAAATCAAATACTGATTCATCAACAAATTGAACTTTTGGAAGGTATGTATTCATTGTATTCATTATGCGTCTAGAAAGAGAAGAGGTTTATGAAGAGAAAAGCACATCAACCTCCACAAATACAACACTAAATCATGTGGGACAGTTAAACCTGGTTATTTAAAAACATCTCTCTTCACAGTAATCAAATTATGAACATTGTCAGCAATCCACTTCTAAAAATTAGTAGTCAAATGCCAAAATACCATTATGCTGGGCGTCTATCCTCATGATACAGACACTGACTTAGAAGGAAAACGTAACTTTTGCTCCTCTCTCTCTTTATATAACATTTTAAGTGATTCTATCATTTGACCTGATTTTTACCACTTCAACTATTTTCTCCCCAATTGCAGTTACCTTGAGAATAGCACAAAGCCACATTCCAAAGGAAATGATCTTGAATTTGGATGGGGATGTTTTGGATAATTATTTCTCATGCCTACAGTTTCTCTTGGGAGTTTAGATGAACTCTATAAAACCTTTGTTCCACGGGCTGTAGACTGATTACCAGCCAGGATGCAGGGACACTGCAGTATTGGAGGATGCTGACCAGCAGGCCTGCAGGCTTGGCTTCCTAGAAGAGCACTGCTGCTCCTGCTGAATGACCCTGACATTTCCTTGGGCCCAGTGCTCCTAGGTGCAAGAGTAAACTTAAGGAGCCACTAGATGCTTCAGGACAACTGCCAGGAGAATGAGACCCTGGGTGGATTTATGGACCTTAGTGTCTTCTAGATAGAAAGGATTTAGTGAAAACTCTATTTATTGGTTTTTAGAATATGTCTGTTAAATCCATCTTCATCTATCTCCAAAGTTTCTTTGCACCGGTAGAAATTAGAACATGAATTGTACAAACAAAGTAGTGGATTTGGCTAAAATATACAATTGTCACCTCTTACATTTAAATTACTTATAATGTACATTATTCAATATTTGTAGTGTTCTTGATTTTGTTTAGTTTCTTTAAACAGAGTTATTTCTGGAAGAGAGCTCTTTGTTGTTTGATAATTTGTATTTTGGAATTTTTTAATGTTTATTTTATGGTGTACATTATTAAGATTATGAAATTCAAACAGACAGGTACCATACATTGCACAGTTCTCCATTTAACTTTTTTTTAGATTTATAACCTATATAAATATTTGTAAAATACATGTCTTA